GTAATAGTTGTCATAGAAACTCATAGCTAATCGACCTTGTTCATCTTTGACACTATATGATATATTGTAACTACCGCCTAACAACAGATGTGAAACAGAAATTAGAAAGTGTTGTAAAAAGAAGCAATTTCTAACTCCAATCTCTGTAGGGCTAGGCTGAACTTTTATTAAAAGAAAACTCCTTTATTTATTTAGTTACTTGGCTGTTTACGTTTTCAAGAAAAAAGGAATAATCCTCTATTAAACATGTTGCTCGATTTTTCTTCTCTTTGACTAAAGTAAGTAAAGTGTCAACAAAGTTTAAAATCTGAGAAAATTTGCCTAGTCTTTTTAATATGCTAGCTCATATAATCAGACAATCAACAATCATTTCTATAATACTTTGTTATATGTGCATTCAGAGTTGTGCAGATTAATATACTGGATGAAGTGAGTGCCTTCAGACCTTTTTTTGATGGTTAGGTTTAGTTATAATGAGTCAGAATAAAACTGAAAAAGCATCATTTATGTAGGTAATATATGACTGAAAAGATACAGAACTATTGTACACATTCATCTTCATACGCTAATTTAATTAGTCTGCTTGAAAACATTTTAGTATATAAAATCAGACTCTGATAAAGCTTGCTTTTCATTTTATCATCACAAAACAAATATTTTACCTAATTTTGGTGTGAAATCAATACTAACTGGATCTTTATTTGAACTAACAATTGTTAATGTTTGGTCATCTTTCACTTGTTCAAATACTATTAAACCATTCTCATCTTCTTTTTTTTCATTACCATTTCCAATTACCTTACACTCAATCAAAACATTATCAATTAAATTTCCATCAATATCTGTTACAATGACTTTTGTTTGGACAGATTTATCTTTCTTGCCATAATTTGATATTAATTTAAATCCAACATAATATGTACATGGATGTATGATAAACTCTGTTTGTGTTTCTTGTGTTTGATAATTTAAGTCAGTAATGGCTGCTAATGCACGAACAACTGTTGTTCTGGGCTCTTGTTCAATACCATGATAATTGATTTTAATTTCATGTAGACCTTTGTTGTTTGTTTTACCCTAAAAGTAAGTGTATATAATAATCTGAAAGAAAACGTGCTGAACTGTTGTTTACTTTAGAGCGTTACAATAAGATTTCAAGAGCTATTCCAAGTTTTTGAGCATCCATAGCATCTAGGATTATCTACAGATTGTCAAAGTCAAAAGTCCAGAAAAGAGAATTTCCACCTTTGGTGAGTTTTAATGACTTTTCAGTTGCTAAAAAACAAAGTGCTTGAATTCTCCAGCTCTTCTTTTTCTTGTTGTCTTAATGTATAGCCATAAACTGTGTACAAGTCGATGAAAACAGTAATCAGTTGTTTATTAGCCATTCACATAGCGCAGACGTGACTGTTTTCACAACATTTTTAGAGCATAAAACTGAAAAAACTTTTATGGTCTCAAACAGGGCCTTTCTTATCTTCTAGAGACTATTTCTGAACGGTTTGTCACGGTTTACTACTCATTAGTACAAACCTTTCTTGAACATTTTCACAACTTTCCTGCCTTTTCGATAATGGTCCTACCAATTTTGAGACTGAACCTTTCATAGCTCATATTTTTAAAGATGACCAAAGATTAAGAGTGGGAACTTTAACATGAAAATGTTTCCAGACCTTTTCTTAAGTACATGACCGAAAACGTGTTCTTAACAGACAAACAGTGGCGGAAAAAATTTCCCTAACAAAATTTTTTCGTCTTTTTGCTCAAAACTGAGTAACCAAAAAGGTATGGACAAGCGGTTTGCATCAAAACATAGTTCGCTCTCTCCAGTATACTTGCAGATAAGAAAAGTTATAAATATTCGTTGTTAGTTTATAGACCTATTAGACTGAAAAGTGAACTTTTCCAGGTGAGGAAAGATTGTCGAACAGGTGTGAAAACTATCAATCGATAGAAGCGGGTGTGAACTACATTTCGGTGAAATTGTTCGTTCGTGACTTTTAAATTAAATTTTACGGCTTTTTAAAGTTTTAAAATTTCGGATTTTTCAAATTAAAAACCGAAAAGGAACAATTTTAGAAAAGCCTCTCATTAGGGGTTGCATAATTCTATTCTGAGCAACTTCTGCACCCAGAGTTTTCCTTCGAACGAAACAAGCCGTAAGCTGAGGTGAAAAATACTTTTAGCTTTAAAACTTCCTCGGGAGGTGAACATTACATTTCTGCGTCAAAGTTCATTCGGAAACGATGAAAAGAGTTTGCCCTTATACAAGTTAGGGCGGACACACCCCTTAAAGTCAATATTGCCATAGACTTCAATGTGATTGCTCAATCTCAGGAATGAGTGTGTGAAGAAAATCTGAATTAAGCCATCGAAACAGCGTCACAAACTAAGTAAGACAAATATAATCTGTAACTTCGCCTAGTGAAGAAATCAAGAAAAGCAAGTACTCTAATTTTTGTTTTTCTCTTTAGCACCCATTTCTTCGCATAGATTCAAGGAAAGTCGGGACGTTTTCAGAGGGACGTTTAGCTAACAAAGATTGTACTTCGTATTCTGGTTACTTTTCGCTCTTAAAATAAAATTAGATTACCTGAAAAGTTTTTGCTGGATATGATATTTTATTCTGAGTCTGAGAAGAATTATTATAACGATATCGCCAAAAGAATTGCTCAGCTCTGCCAAATGTATAGTCAGATCGTTCTGGTGGTCTAAATTGTGTTGTTTCAGGTTCAACTGTCCATTGAACATTTGCATCATTTAAATAACCACCAGCAAACAATTTTCCTTCACAAGTAACTATAACATATTCATCAGTTGTTGAATGACAATAATGTGGTGTTGTTGGTCGATGCATTGATGAAACTTCATATTCTGGTTTTCGAAACTCTTGAACTTTAAAATAATGTGTTGTATTAGTTGCTAAATCTGGTAAATTGAAATAAATAGAGCCATCACCTAATATAAATATAAATGCATGGTAGATCAATTGTATATAACATCGTTGAACTCAACGGAATCCCAAGAACAGTAGCCTTTCAGGAAACTACTTCTAGCCTAAATAATTGACTCCAGAAATGCTCATTTCTTTCTAAACGTCGGTAGATAAAAGGAGTAGTACACAAAAGTAAGGATATCCCTTGCCCTTAAGAATCATAATAGCTAGTGCCTTCAAAGCGTGTGTAAGCCTAAACTCACATGCCGATCATCCCGTCAGTTTAGCCCTTTTTTGACGGTTAACTGTAAAACTGCTGCTAACAGTAACTATCATAACTGTTTTGAAATATATGTGGCTTTGTCGACCAAAATAATTACCTTCAACAAAGCAACTATCAATTCTATATAAAAGCCATATATATGTGTATTTTTTGTCCTTACTCCAAAATGTGTGTTAATCGCACAACATTAATTCAGTCTAAAATATTTTTCAAACAGTTACGACAGTTCCAGTTTTACAATTATACAGTTAACTGTAACTGGTGCATGCCTACTTCAGGGTTAACTGTTATACAGTAGCATGCATTCATTAGCATACTAGACTATAATGTAATTCGAACTAGACTAATGTAATATGCGAAAGAAAACGAGGCTGATACAGCGGGCATCCAGGCGGACATTTGACAGCAAATCGAAAGTAGGCTTTTACAAAATTCCAGTAGTGTCAAATATACGTCAATTTAACGGTAAAAGATATTTTGTCTCAAGTGGCGAACTTTCGCAAAAAACGTATTAGTAAAAGTACACTCGGTTTAAGCATCACTCACGGGGAATATATTATTTTGTAATATCAACCTAATGTGAGGTCATAAAACGTGTATATTCGGAATCCACGCAGTTTCAGCTACATATTCCAAAAAGAATTCGTTTCGGACTGAAGTCTGACGTCAGAAAACAAAGTGTTTCCCAAACCTAAGATTGTTTCCGATACATGTGTATAGTATAATGAGATCGCACAAGTTAGTGCAGTCCAATTCGACTCAGAATGACGCCAAAATATTCGTCAGAAACTCTTGTTACAAAATAAGGTGATATTTCGATATATGAGAAACTACATCGAGTGATGTACCACTTATTAGTTTTACAAATAAAAAATTGTGTGACAAAAGTTCACGGCGAGTGTCCTCTTCTCTTATTTTCAACCAGATGTTCGGCTACTCTGTGGAAAAATGCCCACTTTGGCTAAGTAACTAAAGAACGTCCTTATCGGCGGTGGAAGGATATCATAAACATGCAAAAGTATGATTATGGAAGCCAATGAGAAAAAAGTATAAAACCTTGTCAGGAAGATACCATCATCACCAAGTACCTCCCCGTAATGACATTTTTGCTTGAAAAACCACTGTCAAATATGGCACTCGACCCCGTTTGTCTGCTAATTTCAAATATATTATTCATTTTGCTTGGGGATATACGAGAAGGGAAAAGGACGCAAAATATATAAGATGTAACATGTATTATAAAGGAAGCCTCAGGGTAAAGACAAAGCAGTGAATATGAGAACAAAACTTTACCTAAGTTAACATTATCAGGTAATTTAAATTTTATGTCAAATGCACCATAATCATTCAATCTCACTTTTGACTCTTCAAGTTTTTGGCCACGCGGAT